TAAAAACTATCAGACAAATCAATAATTGGTCTTTACGGCCATCTACAGTTTCAGAACATGCCAGTTAAAAACTATCAGACAAATCAATAATTGGTCTTTACGGCCATCTACAGTTTCAGAACTTGGCAGTTAAAAACTATCAGACTAATCAATAATTGGTCTTTACGGCCCGGGGCACACGAAGAAAGACTCTTAAAGGGTAAATGGATACAAGCATACGTCGATGGATATTTGAGAAATGAAACACCGTGATCGTCTTGGTGCTAAACAAAATGGTTTTCGCATCCTTTCGTTTCCAACAGTCTGTTCGTCTGGACCTGGAAAAGAAACGAGAGTGTATTATAAATGAAACACCAAAAACCGTGTTAAAACGAAATTAATTTAGACGAAAATTATTTTAACATGAAAAAAAAAAAAACACTGTTGGTCCCAGCAGTGATGTATACATCTATTAGTTCCGGTTAATACGTATTTCTAAAACACGAACTCCTGATTTTTTCGGTTCACTGGAATTCGTGTTAATAAGCTTTACTTCACCAGCTAAACTTCTTCATCATCTCATTCACTCCAGTTACAAAAAGTACAGACATGTTTTATTTTAAAAGGATACAAGTGTGTGTGTGTGTGTGTGTGTGTGCGTGTGTGTGTATGTGTGTATGTGTTTAAGGCACTAATGCAGATACAGATGACAGACATATTCTTTTTCTCTCATCTCACTGATACCAGGTTGTACCTTAGTGTCATGGTTTTGTCGTCTCACTGATACCAGGTTGTAGCCTAGTGTCGTGGTTTTGTCGTCTTACTGATACCAGGTTGTACCTTAGTGTCGTGGTTTTGTCGTCTCACTGATACCAGGTTGTAGCCTAGTGTCATGGTTTTTTCGTCTCACTGATACCAGGTTGTACCTTAGTGTCATGGTTTTGTCGTCTCACTGATACCAGGTTGTAGCCTAGTGTCATGGTTTTGTCGTCTCACTGATACCAGGTTGTAGCCTAGTGTCATGGTTTTGTCGTCTCACTGATACCAGGTTGTAGCCTAGTGTCATGGTTTTTTCGTCTCACTAATACCAGGTTGTAACCTAGTGTCATGGTTTTGTCGTCTCACTGATACCAGGTTGAAGCCTAGTGTCATGGTTTTGTCGTCTCACTGATACCAGGTTGAAGCCTAGTGTCATGGTTTTGTCGTCTTACTGATACCAGGTTGAAGCCTGGTGTCGTGGTTTTGTCGTCTTACTGATACCAGGTTGAAGCCTAGTGTCATGGTTTTGTCGTCTCACTGATACCAGGTTGAAGCCTAGTGTCATGGTTTTGTCGTCTCACTGATACCAGGTTGAAGCCTAGTGTCATGGTTTTGTCGTCTCACTGATACCAGGTTGAAGCCTGGTGTCGTGGTTTTGTCGTCTTACTGATACCAGGTTGTAGCCTAGTGTCATGGTTTTTTCGTCTCACTGATACCAGGTTGAAGCCTAGTGTCGTGGTTTTGTCGTCTTACTGATACCAGGTTGTAGCCTAGTGTCATGGTTTTTTCGTCTCACTGATACCAGGTTGAAGCCTAGTGTCGTGGTTTTGTCGTCTTACTGATACCAGGTTGTACCTTAGTGTCGTGGTTTTGTCGTCTTACTGATACCAGGTTGTACCTTAGTGTCATGGTTTTGTCGTCTCACTGATACCAGGTTGTACCTTAGTGTCATGGTTTTGTCGTCTCACTGATACCAGGTTGTACCTTAGTGTCATGGTTTTGTCGTCTCACTGATACCAGGTTGTACCTTAGTGTCATGGTTTTGTCGTCTCACTGATACCAGGTTGTACCTTAGTGTCATGGTTTTGTCGTCTCACTAATACCAGGTTGTAGCCCAGTGTCATGGTTTTGTCGTCTCACTGATACCAGGTTGTAACCTAGTGTCATGATTTTGTCGTCCCACTGGTACCAGGTTGTACCTTAGTGTCATGGTTTTGTCGTCTCATTGATACCAGGTTGTGCCTTAGTGTCATGGTTTTGTCGTCTCACTGATACCAGGTTGTAACCTAGTGTCATGATTTTGTCGTCTCACTGATACCAGGTTGTACCTTAGTGTCATGGTTTTGTCGTCTCACTGATACCAGGTTGTAACCTAGTGTCATGATTTTGTCGTCTCACTGATACCAGGTTGTACCTTAGTGTCATGGTTTTGTCGTCTCACTGATACCAGGTTGTACCTTAGTGTCATGGTTTTGTCGTCTCACTGATACCAGGTTGTACCTTAGTGTCATGGTTTTGTCGTCACACTGATACCAGGTTGTACCTTAGTGTCATGGTTTTGTCGTCTCACTAATACCAGGTTGTAGCCTAGTGTCATGGTTTTGTCGTCTCAATGATACCAGGTTGTAGCCCAGTGTCGTGGCTTTGTCGTCTCACTGATACCGGGTTGTACCTTAGTGTCATGGTTTTGTCGTCTCACTGATACCAGGTTGTACCTTAGTGTCATGGTTTTGTCGTCTCACTAATACCAGGTTGTAGCCTAGTGTCGTGGTTTTGTCGTCTCACTAATACCAGGTTGTAGCCTAGTGTCATGGTTTTGTCGTCTCACTGATACCAGGCTGTACCTTAGTGTCATGGTTTTGTCGTCTCACTGATACCAGGTTGTACCTTAGTGTCATGGTTTTGTCGTCTCACTGATACCAGGTTGTACCTTAGTGTCATGGTTTTGTCGTCTCACTGATACCAGGTTGTACCTTAGTGTCATGGTTTTGTCGTCTCACTAATACCAGGTTGTAGCCTAGTGTCATGGTTTTGTCGTCTCACTAATACCAGGTTGTACCTTAGTGTCATGGTTTTGTCGTCTCACTAATACCAGGTTGTAGCCTAGTGTCATGGTTTTGTCGTCTCACTGATACCAGGTTGTAGCCCAGTGTCGTGGTTTTGTCGTCTCACTGATACCAGGTTGTAGCCCAGTGTCGTGGTTTTGTCGTCTCACTGATACCAGGTTGTAGCCCAGTGTCGTGATTTTGTCGTCTTACTGATACCAGCCCATTAGAAATCGATTGGCAAATGTTCTCTCTTTGCCCCGCAAGCTTTTTCTGCAGGCTCGCCTTAGTTTAGTACACATTTTCAACAGACTATTCATTATTGCTGGCTTCTTTGTCTCAAAGTTTCAGGAACGCAGGGCATTCAGTATGTCTTCTTTGCCCATACCTCTTCCTCCACCAGCTACTACAGACACAGCCAGTCTGTTAGCTGTTTCCTTTCCTTTCAGCCCGGCGTGTCTGGAGTGTACATCCCAGATGTTTTCTTGAAGCGGGATTTATAAAGTAAAAGTCCCTTTTCCCGGCCTTTAGGCGCATTGGGAATATACGGTTAGACCTACATTTGTATAGATCAATCGGCATTTGGTAGGTGATGTAGTCAGCAACACGCCGACCGCCTTTCCTTCCCAGGACTGCACCTGGTACCCATTCAAGGCTGGGTCGACCTGGGAGTCAAGATTGAGGCGGGAATTATGGATGCTTCTATTCCATTCGAGTGGGAGTTTGCATGTTTGGATGGATCTTCTTAAGCACGCTTATTGTGCCTGTCGCTATCCGTGAACGAGCACTCGTACTGGAACTGCTGCACTGGCGGCTGATGATGGGGATGGAGCATGTATGGGAGTGCCCCAAGTGCTGTGATGTTAATTCTTAGCTCAACACAACACAACATAACACAACACAACACAACACAGGGAACGAGCTGCTTAATGTCCTGCCAGCTATGCAAATGCTTTTGTGAAGATCACTAGTCTCTCTCTCTCTCTCTCTCTCTCTCTCTCTCTCTCTCTCTCTCTCTGTTGTACCCCACCAGGACATCATACAAGCGATAAACACCCGGTGACACAAAGCGCCACCATGTTAATGAACATCACCCGTGGAGAAGTCACAGAAACCCCTTTCAGCCGTTAGGCCAAATTTATGGCCCGGCTATATTCAGGGCCCCAGGCAAAAGCCCGGGTGGGGCTTCAAATAACGAAATATTTGCATCCCACGAGGGGACGACGAACATAGAGTCACTAAATGATGGAGGCGACATAAAGACCTAACATGCACTTGTGAAAGAAGAAGGAAATTTTTTTTGCTATTTATAAAACGGAGATTGGATGCAAAGTAACGACTGCTAACTACAAGCATATTACGCGCTGAAGTCCTAATATCTTGACAATTAAGGTAACGCGAAGCATAAATGAAAGACACAAAATGTCCAAGAACACAAATTATATGACAGCTTTACACGGACAGTTACAATAAACTAGCAAAAGACGTTGCGGCGACTAACCTTCATCAGCAGAACAACCATGATAAACAAGAAACACAAAATGAACTGTCTCTAAAGTGAGTAAAGTACTGTATTCAAATATTACGTAAACAAATGAAACAGAATAATAATACAATGCTATATACCATACGTAATACTTACCTGGACTACTTCAAATTTTAAAAAAGGAATAAACGAAATACTATCCGTCTCACAGACGCACATTACAGAGCACGTTGAGAAAGGCCCAAAAAAGGCATGCTTCGTGAAGAGTGGCAAGCATCCAGCGGTCCCGGGTAGTTAGCATCCTTCGGATATTTTCTCTAGGTCATGCCGGTGTGTGCGGGAAATGTGCAGACAGATAGACTGGCTGGCACTTTGTGGTGAATTGATGTATGACAAGTTAGATATTGTGAGGGCCCTTTGAGAGTGAGTGAAGTGCGGAGGCGCAGATAGATCATTATAGTCTAAGGAGAATAGCGCTGTGAGGAGTTACCAGGGCATCTGGCTGATGCTCAACACTCAGGGGAAGCATGAGACGGATACACAATCAGACGGTTACTGGTACCACAGAAATTGGAACTCTTCGCTTGCTGCTGAAGATAGGGACTGAGCGTCTATGGGAGTGTCCTGAGTGCTGTCATGTCGATTCTTAATTCAACATTACAGACGAACCAGGAGTCGGTGAGTGAACTCTGATCAGAAGGAGTGAGGAGTGAAATTAGCGATATACTTACATGATTTTGGCTCCTTTTCATTCTGTTTCGTTTAAATAACTTTTCTGCCACGTGAACGAGGACGGCAAGAACGATGAAGACGGCGAGCACGATAAAGACTCCGATCATGTTAGTGAGATCCAGTTCTGCCGTGCTCTTCTGACTGATGGACCAGGTGATGCCATCATTTGTGCAGTTGCTTCCCACTGACCACCACCTGCGGAGTTTAAAGGATAACTTCTAAGAATATTGGTAATAGAGTAAGTAAAGTGAAGTGAAGATCCCTTTTCACGCCTTTAGGCTTATCGGGCATGTGGGAAGAGCGCCCATATTTTTACAGACCATCAGCACTCTGTGGGTAATGTGGTAATCATTATGTCGGCTGTCTTTGCTTTCCCAGGACAGCCATCTTGGTACCCATTTTAGGCTGGGTCGACCTGCGACGCCCCATACCATGATAAAAATCCACGCAGCCAGCAGTGGGTTTCGGTCGCGGTACGTTGGTTTTACGAGTCGGACTCGCAACGCCATAGCCACGGACGCCGCTTGGTAGTAGAGTAATCAAGGTAAGTGCAGTTCGAAAGCGTCACCACATAGCAGCTCCGTATCTTATTCCTCTGTTCTTTACTCCTGAAATGCCTCGCTGCGTCAGGACAGGAATAGATCGCTGGAACGGGCTCTTTTGTTTGCTCCGTATATAGTACTTTTTAATGTCTCCGCTATTGCTGCCGTCAATGAAAACCACACATCCCCGAGTGGCTTCTGGAGCCCTATGGGGGGGGGGGGGGTGGAGAATAGACCCACTGCCTATACAGAAGCATGTGGTAAGAGACGACTAATTGGGAGCTTCCTTTGAAGTAGGAGTGCATCTGCCTGAGCGGCAAGGAACCAGCAGTCTGCATACATAGGAGTCAGATCTGTAAAAAGGATGCACACGTAACACTCAGGTTCTGAAACAGGACTGCAGTCCACAAGTGGACGAACAACCAGAACTTTCTGCCAGAGTTTACAGCTGGTGAAGACGAAGAAGAAGAAGAAGAAGAAGAAGAAGAAGAAGAAGAAGAAGAAGAAGAAGAAGAAACAAAATTACGAACATTGCAGCCTCAGCAAAGCCAGTAGGTGCTTTCATAATATCCTACCCCCAGATGACTTCACAGGACAGTCCAACATTTTTTATGTTTTTAACGACCCTAAACATAAAGAACTGGCCCTAATCCCAACCCACCTTCGTCCCATGAGAGAGTGCAGCCTAGGTCCCACGAATACATGCAGCCTAGGTCCCACGACTGCATGCAGCCTATCTACCACCCCCCAAAATATTAGACTGACCCGTGAGCTGTGGATTTTCCCTGTCTGGGGTAGGATATTAATAAAGCACCTCTTCTTCTTCTTTTTGTCTCTACTCCTAGGATACCTCGCAGCGTCAGGGCATAAAGATGTCTCTTGAAAGGACTCCTCTGTATAGCACTTTTCAGTGTCCCTGATATTTCCGCGGTCAATACAAACTTGTAGATGAGCTAGAGGAGTTTCAAAGAAAGACAGAATACGAAATCACGAAATCAGACGAATGCTAGGAATAAAGCTAGCCTTACAGGTCATCAAGGAACAACACATGAAGTGGTTTGGACACCTAACAAGAACGCCCTAGTACAGTCGAGTCTGGATAAGTAGAAGTCGCAGGGACCTAAGAAAATGCTTCCACTTATCAGGATTTCTACTTATCCAGACAGTACACACAATAGAGAAAATTGCCGGGACTAAGCTGGTCATGTCGACTTAACCGAAATTCGACTTATCCGAGTTCAACTTAAGTGGACTCGACTGTACTATCTGCCACAGCGAGCCACACTAAAACGTTACAACAGGTATAGAGCGAGCGGAAGACCTCGGAAAATAGAGAGTGATAGCATTAGGAACAGCCTTACAGAAATGAACATTAGTCCTAATAGTGCTCCTGACAGAGCTCGTCAACGAACGTTACATCTTCCCCCGACACTTCGGTGAGGTACAAGGTGGAAGAGAAGAAGAAGAAGAATGAAAACCACAACTAATGTCCATCACTTTCCCTTTTGAAACAAAGATACGTACACTGCAGTCTCAGCAAAGCCAGTAGCATTCACACGCATTAAATGCATAAGGCAGCTGTCAGAACTATTTAAACAAACAGTCAGGTACTAGAAAAACAGTTTTTGATCTACGGAAACAGCAGTTACAACAGTTTAGTAGTTGCACACGCAACTAATCGAATAAGGTACAATTTGTTCCCTGGCACTCGCCATATTAAAAAAAAAAAAAAAAAATCTGCAGTTCACAACATAAGCCACATTGGAAACAGTTCACAAGCGTTCCAAATGAAATCCGCAGCCGACAGTGTCGAGCCATGCATTCAGCTCAGTAGATGGACGATGGAACTACATCCTTCCAGTCAACATATAGGGGAAAATGCAACAGTTAACGATTATCAGAAGCACTTGCCACGATTAAAAAACAGCAAGTTACAATATCCACAATATTGACTGAAAGTCGGTAGAAGAGTACGTCTGCGCAGCGAAAAGACGTTTGCCTACGGGTCCATAGGCCCTGAGTTCGAATCCACAAGAGGACGGGCATTTTAATAAATGACCTGGGTTCTCAGGTCGACCTGGTATCAGATGCTTGAGAACGGTTCTTTACTTACTTGTAGTTTAATCTATCTTCATTAAACAAGTTGTAAGCAATTTTAACGGTAGACGTAAAAAAAAAAAAAACCGTCTTTGACTTCTTGATAAAAACAAAAAAAAAAAAAACACCCACCAAAACGTTATTTATAATTAAACTGGAAAAACAGGTTAATATAACAGCCGTCTTTCCAGACAATACTGTTACACAGCGCTATAAGGAGGCATGGGACACAGCCCATGGCGATGGCGAATGGGACTAGCAAAACCCGTCCGCGTGAAGAAAAGTGTTCCACAATGATAGCATGGGATTGCAGGACCATTGTTGTCAACATTTGTGATTAGTCTGTTCACCTGTAACAGATTATAACAAGAACAGATGCACGCAATTTCAAAATTGTTTCACTCCCCCCCCCTCCCCTTTCTCCGGCCCCCAACCCGTGAGTAAAACTTCATTGTTCCCCAAGCTAAAAACCACTGTGTGGGAGGAGGGAAACCATCAGCCCTGAACCTAAATTACGTGAATATCTAGCATTTGATAACATAACCCTGCCTCCCCGTATGGGTTCCAAGGCCCCATTGCAAGCGGGACATTTGGGAGGGGAGGGGGGTGGTGGTGGTGGGGGGGGGGGGAGGTTAGATCAACTTTCCCCTGACAGTATTTTGTAAAAATCCACTGTTTAGTAGTTTTTAATAAACTCGGATATGTTGGGCCTAGAGAAGCAGATATCGAAGCCAGGCCCTAAACCACAATACAAAGTGTCAACAGCCCTCTTAACGACGAAGCAGAAGAAGAAGGAACAAAGAAAATTTTCAGAAACCTCAGATATTTTTCTGACACATTCATAAATCTGGGATATTACGTAGACACATTCATAAACCAGGGCTATTGTTTAGATACATTCATAAATCCGTGATATAATTTATATTTATTTAATGAACTCTTCAGAATTATGTCGACACGGAACAACCTCAACATCCTCGGGGGATTTTCCGTTTTCCCTGGTCTGATCTATGTTTTTATAAACCCGATGGTGGTTGCCGATATCTCTGGGCTCTATCAACATTCGTCTATGATCAATCGGTTGGGCTGGTGTCAACGACCTCGTCTTCTAAAGCAGTGACACCTCCTCTTATAAAGCTGTGACGCCGATAATGTGAAATGATTAGTATCTGACATTATGTAGCATCAGGAGGAGCCCGCCGTTTTCCTCCCCCTTGGTCGTACTGGCTATCTACGGCTACAGTACGTCCCAAAAGCCATGCGGAACTTTATACATCTGTAAATCAGAAACAATTCGATGCAAGCTGTTGAAATTTTGGCATGCAGTCTGTTGATAATCATGCCCTTGTAAAAAAAAAAAAAAAAAAAAAAAAAAAAAAAAAAACCACGTAAACAAACATCTAGTTTTCATTCCGCCTAATTTGATATATATTACCACACACACACACACACACACTATAACACACACACACACTTTCAAAATAAAAAAATGAGTAAGGGAAACTTTACAAATCATCGAATTGCCCGCATTTAATAGCAAAAGTCTCCCGTTAGTTGCGGATTTTTCATTGTGCGGGGAATAGACTATTAAAAAAAAACATTCATCATACATCGCTACAAGTGTCAACTGATTTCCAAAACGATCTCCATACGTGTCTTTATTGGATATTCTTTTTTTTTCTGTGGTACATAAATTACTAGGCAAACAAAGATCAAACAAATTCATTGTTTAAAAAAAAAAAAAATAAAAAAAAAAAAATTAAAACAAACAACAGCAAAATAGAATCATAAGAATGTGAGAAATCTAAGGTCACATGCCAAAATTTGTATTGATCCGTACAGGAGTTTTCGGGATATTTGTTAAAGTGTGGCGGCAAGAGTTTTGAAACGCACTGTAAACTATATTCTTGTTTACAGACCAAGCCATACTTGGGCGGTAATGTGGTCAACACTACACCGGCGTTCTTTACTTCCTGTGTCTTTGGTACCCATTTTTGCTGGATCGAACCGACAGCCAAGGTCATAAAAAATAATAATAATAATCCGACTTGAAGCGGATTGTAACCCACGACCTTGGGGTGGCAGGCTAGCGACTAGCGACTGCACAACGATGGCTTCATATTTATCACAATCATTGCCATAATGCCAAAGGGGGGAATCGGAATCTTGACAAGGAAAACAAGCCTGCCTTTCCCAAGGTCTGGGGCTGGAATTTTCAGCGAGTGGGATTTCCCCCCTTCGTGAGTGACCTTGGCTCCCAGGTCGACCCAGCCTCAGATGGGCACCGGGTAATGTTCTGGAAAGTAAAAACGGCCCCGTTGATGCTGACTACACCAGCAACCGACTGGACTATACAAACACCAGTGTAGCATCATACGACATCTGGCTTGTGTAACCGCTACCGGTGACGTAACTATAACTTATCTGGAGGCTGAATGGGGTATTTGGGATGTGCCTCATTGCTCCGCCGTCCGGACTGAGATCTTTTAATCGCAGGATGGTATGGTAAACATTTAGGTAGCAGCTCGGACAGGCCAAATGATCAATCACAGGCCGATGAGTCACTGGCTCTAAAAGGGCCCCTTTCCTTGGTTGATGAAGACGACGATTCAGCTCAACCTGGCTAATTGGGCATCGTGTACTTGACCGCAAATTATTCTTTACCACGCCACTTAACTGTATAAGTGGTTTATGAAGATGATGATGATGAAACGACAGAAGACAAAGTCAAAGTTGTAACTGGATGAATGAGACTAGGATTAGGAGTGGTAATTTTGGATGGCTAGAAATACCAGAAGTTGACTTCAGTCCAGAAGATGACCAGATGTGCTAAATACAACATAAAAGGTGACTACAGAGGTCAACGGAGAGAAAGGAAAAGATGTGCACAGATACAACCGAACGTTTCTACCAAGTCTCTATCAGACGCATGTAAAAATACAACCGAACGTTTCTACCAAGTCTCTATCAGACGCACGTAAAAATACAACCGAACGTTTCTACCAAGTCTCTATCAGACGCACGTAAAAATACAACCGAACATTTCTACCAAGTCTCTATCAGACGCACGTAAAAATACAACCGAACGTTTCTGCCAAGTCTCTATCAGACGCACGTAAAAATACAACCGAACATTTCTATCAGTTTTTATCAGACGCACATAAAAATACAACAGAACGTTTCAATCAGTTTTTATCAGACGCTCGTAAAAATACAACCGAACGTTTCTACCAAGTCTCTATCAGACGCACGTAAAAATACAACCGAACGTTTCAATCAGTTTTTATCAGTCTCGTAAAAATACAACCTAACTTTTCTATCAGTTTTTATCAGACGCATATAAAAATACAACAGAACGTTTCTACCGTCTCTATCAGACACACACAATACAACCGAAGTGGATAAAGACTTCGGTCGAATAGTCCGGTTGTGTTCGGGTGCATCTTTTCTACCCCCCCCCCCTCCTCACTCCCTTTCTCGTTGAGCTTTTTAATCGTATTTTTGTTGTTGTTGTGTTTAGCTAGTGTTAGACCGAGGCTAACTAACGTCATCTACAAGCTGTGAAACGGAAATATTTTATTGCCAGCAGACTACATTCAGAAGCGCTGCAACTTGGGAGGGGGAGGGGGGAGGGGGCTAGGTATCTTGAGCACAACCCCTGAAAAATTTGTAAAGGAGCTATCCACATCCACCCCTCCCACGTCCAAATACGTATTATCATCGTCATAAACCATGTTCGTAACAGAAAGTAATTGTAACTCTCGCCACAACATGCATGAAAGTTTCTCTTTCTCTGCCCAATTCTCTAGCCCTATGTGCTTTCACAATCAATGCATCTTTAATGTCCTGTATCCGCTTCCACGGGGGTCGGTTTCTAGCTGGTTTTCTGAAAACGGCACCTGCATTCAGCGTTCTCTTCAGGCCAACATGGCGCTTAACATGGCCGAAATACCGCAAGTTTCAGGACAGGACGCTGTTTACGAGCCAGTTCTCCTTGATGCTCAGATCTTTATGGTTGTTGTTCGTCCATCACCAGTGATAAATAACACTTTCATCCACAATAGTAATGATTATGAGTACGAAGGTGGCTGATTAGTCCAATATGAGCCAGGAAAGTCCTTGAGCAAAGCGGACAATAGGTGGAACCCATAGTAAGTGTGGGATTAGCAATACAATTCTTTCTAGTCTGCCTCCATTTCTCTGCCTGTGCAACCCCCGCTGCCTGGCAGGCCGATGCACCATGCCCGAGGGACGTACGCCACCCAGAACGGTCTTGCACAGCAGCCTCCCAAGTCGCCGTGTTGATGCCAAAAGAATTGAGAGCAGTCTTCATAGTGTCATTACAGAGTTTTTTTCTGTCCTCCCCGGAACCTCTTCCCTTGCTGGAGCTCGCCATAAAATACTCGCTTTCTTCTTCTTTTTCTTCAGCATTCCGAGCCCTTGAGGTTCATTGCTGCAGATATCACCCGCCTCCATTCATCTCTCTGGTTGGCTTTGTCTTTCCAGCTGGTAACACCAAGTGTTTGCAGGTCTGTCTGGATGTTATCTCTCCATCGTCTTCTTGGTCTCCCTCGTGGTCTACGACTATTCATCTCCCTGTTGTATAGTCTTTATTTCTCTGTCATCTGACATTCTTACAACATGCCCCAACCATTTCAGTCCATTAGCTCTCATGATGCCATGATGGGTCCAAAGATTCGTCGTAAGACTGTTTTCGAAAACCTGTAATAAGGATTTATCTCTTTTAGTTGTGCTCCAAGTTTCAGAGCCTTATCTTATCAACGTTTTATATATTTTGATCTTGGTGTTGCGCGACAGACACTTTGACTTTAGCAGATGTTGTATACTTTATTTCCAGAAAATACTCTCTTCGGGAGGCGATATTCTGGCATGCGAAATAGGTGACCAGCCCAACGCAGCTGATAATTCTTTATGTATACTTCATTCTTTCCATGTATGGAAACACATCCGTATATAGAAGTTCTCTCTGTAAGTTTTTGTGTGTTCATATCATACTGGTTAAAATACGTATATTATACTTATTGGCCACTCAGCACTCTGTTATTATTATTGTTAAGCACTTCAACAAGCCTTTATTTGAACGGATGCACCTGAATCTTCTAAATAGCCGGAGGGCAGAGAGCAGCAAGGCATACATACAGGTACAGTCGGCTGACATATGATGTGAAATTACCCAAGCGGATCTGATTGAATCAAGATGGCACTGATGTATTCCTAGTGCTCAGGGGCTGTATTTGTCAGTGTCCCAGGTAAATCCATACTTATGTCTAGTTCAGGGGCGTCTCTAGTGGACTGTACGGAGGATGGGGTGCTCCGCCTCGCTAAGAATTCGAACTCGTGGGTCTCTGTGGCGAAGTGGTGAAGCATTTTGTTTCACGCTCTGAAGGTCGTGGTTCGTTTCAGGGCTGCGTCGTTCAGATTCTGAGTGCAATTTTATGGTGATCACTGCGATTGTCGCCGGAGCAACGGAGTTCGTTCTCTGTGCGATATTCTCGACAGAGACTAGTGATTTTGTAAAGAGAGGTCGAACCATAAGGGATAAAACCAGATGCAACGAAGTCGATTATCTCGACTTTTAACCTTTAATTTTTTTAGGAATTCGAACCTAAGATCACGGGATTGACAAGCACGGGTGTTAGCTATTACACAGATTTATCTCTCTGATATCAGAATATTATCCCATATGGCTCGGTCTCTCTCTGCAGAACGACTAGCCGCCTGCCGGCCGAGAGCTTCGCACAAATCACTAAATTCGTAGCTCCAGCGACGATCATAATAGTTGTCTGTTAAACCGTGACTCGGTAACTGGGCGACGACACGTTCCGTGAAACGAACCCACGACATTCAGAATGCGATGAAAAGGGCTTGACCATTTCGCTATGGAGTCCAACCGCCCCCTCCCCCCTTCTCTGCAACAAACTGTGAGTAACTGTACTGGATGGACTCAACCCTGGCAGAGCCTTTGATTTCTTCTTCTATTTTCTACTCATGGAACACCTCGGGGCGTCAGGGCATGAAGAGATCTCTCTGAAGCTGGTTCTTCTGTTCTCGACTCCTGGAATACATCCCAGCTTCAGGGCAGGAATGGAGGTCAGGAATGGGCCCTTCTGTTCTCGACTCCTGGAATACATCCCAGCCCCAGGACAGGAACGGGTTCTTCTGTTCTCGACTCCTGGAATTCATCCCAGCTCCAGGGCAGGAACGGGTTCTTCTGTTCTCGACTCCTGGAATACATCCCAGCTCCAGGGCAGGAACGGGTTCTTCGGTTATCTACTCCTGGAATACATCCCAGCTCCAGGGCAGGAACGGGTTCTTCGGTTATCTACTCCTGGAATACATCCCAGCTCCAGGGCAGGAACGGGCCCTTCTGTTCTCGACTCCTGGAATACATCCCAGCTCCAGGGCAGGAACGGGTTCTTCGGTTATCTACTCCTGGAATACATCCCAGCTCCAGGGCAGGAACGGGTTCTTCGGTTATCTACTCCTGGAATACATCCCAGCTCCAGGGCAGGAACGGGTTCTTCGGTTATCTACTCCTGGAATACATCCCAGCTCCAGGGCAGGAACGGGCTCTTCTGTTCTCGACTCCTGGAATACATCCCAGCTCCAGGGCAGGAACGGGTTCTTCTGTTCTCGACTCCTGGAATACATCCCATCTTCAGGGCAGGAACGCGTTCTTCTGTTCTCGACTCTTGGAATACATTCTAGCTTCAGGGCAGGAACGGGCTCTTCTGTTCTCGACTCCTGGAATACATCCCACCTTCAGGGCAGGAATGGGCTCTTCTGTTCTCGACTCCTGGAATACATCCCAGCTTTAGAGAAGGAACGAGTTCTGTTTGCTTTGTATAAAGAACTTTTCAATGTCTCTGATATTTCCGAGGTCCATCTTCTGCGTGGTCGATCTCTGGATCTATTACCGGTTGTATCTGTATAACACTGCTCTCTGTGGTGCCCTGTCTGATGCCAATCTCTCATTTCCTCCTGGTGTATGTCATACCATCACAAGTTATTTAATTTTTTTTTAAAGGAATTCGAATCTAGAGCCAGAAAGGCAAGACGGACATAAAACCAGATTGTGACCGGTACCATCAGTATTGGAACTCTGCGCTGGCTGCTAAAAATAAGGACGGAGCACGCATGTCAATGCCCTGAGTGCCGTGATTTCAATTCTTGACTCAACTCAATTCAACTTAGAAACCGACTTACTTTTCTTTGAGGTAATCTAAGACGCCATCTTCCCTTAGTTCCAGCAAGGCTTGGTTGATGTCGTCCAGATATGGCGCCCCTGTTGAAGATTGAATAATACATATCACTTCATGGTGTTTAGAGTGAGAACTGGGGGAAAAAAATAGCAGATATATATATATATATATATATATATATATATATATATATATATATATATATATATATATATATATATATATATATATATACCCCAGTGCTCACTGACAACTGGGGAGTATTAGGTAAATATAGTGCTCCTTGAGAACTAGGCAATATACAGTACATAAACATCAGTGATCACTGAGAACTTGAGAATATTTAGTAGATATACCTCAGTGTTCATTGAGAACTGGAGAATATAGAGTAGGTATACCCCAGTGTTAATTGAGAACTAAAGAATATAGAGTAGGTATACCCCAGTGTTCATTGAGAACTGGAGAATGTAGAGTAGGTATACCCCAGTGTTCATTGAGAACTGGAGAATATAGAGTAGGTATACCCCAGTGTTCATTGAGAACTGGAGAATATAGAGTAGGTATACCCCAGTGTTCATTGAGAACTGGAGAATATAGAGTAGGTATACCCCAGTGTTCATTGAGAACTGGAGAATATAGAGAAGTTATACCCCAGTGTTCATTGAGAACTGGAGCACATAGAGTAGGCATACCCCAGTGATAACTGAGAACTGGAGAATATAGAGTAGGTATACCCTAGTGATAACTGAGGACTGGAGAATATAGAGTAGGTATACCCCAGTGATAACTGAGAACTGGAGAATATAGAGTAGGTGTACCCCAGTGATAACTGAGAACTGGAGAATATAGAGTAGGTATACCCCAGTGATAACTGAGAACTGGAGAATATAGAGTAGGCATACCCCAGTGATAACTGAGAAATGGAGAATATAGAGTAGGTATACCCCAGTGATAACTGAGAACTGGAGAAATAGAGTAGGCATACCCCAGTGATAACTGAGAACTGGAGAATATAGAGTAGGTATACCCCAGTGATAACTGAGAACTGGAGAATATAGAGTAGGCATACCCCAGTGATAACTGAGAAATGGAGAATATAGAGCAGTAACACCCAAGCATTCACTGAGAACTGAAGAATATAGTGTAGGTATAGCTAAGTAGTAATTGGAGACTGGAGAATATAAAGCAGATATACCTTAGTGCTCACTAAGAACTGTGGAACATAGAGTATATATATATATATATATATATATATATATATATATATATATATATATATATATATATATATATATATATATATATATACTTCAGTGCTGGAAAACTGAGAAATGGGAAACATAGAGGATTTATATATATGCTATCATATATACGCATTCCATTGTGGTTATCGAGATGTGCGGAATAAATAAGTCAGAGTGATCCGGTTCTATCCTAGAGCTTCTTCCGCTCCTACTGTCACCTCCGAAGGAACACATACTCTCCACTCCTATCCCAAGAAGCAGAAGGCTGCGTGGTCTCGAGGCATGGTTTCCGCCTCGAGTGTTAGAGGTTCCGGGTCCAATCCCCGGCAAGAGCTGGGATTTTTTCACGTGGACTAGTAATTCCCCCGGGTCTCTGGGTAGTGAGATCGGTCGCCCGTGTGTATTGTTGCGCACATAAAAAATCATTTGGCAGTTGGAAATCGAAAAGAGTAGCATAACGGCTTTGCCCGGTCACAATTTGGAGTTAAAAATCTGCTGAAAGTATTTCAGGATCATCGCCGGTGCTACAGAGCCTGTGCACTGTGCTGAGCTTCTTCGGACTCAGACTTGAGTTAGAAGATGAACGGAGCACTTATGGGTTACTACCCGTGTGCCATGATGTTGATCCGTTGTTCAAACCTCAAACATCATCCCAAGACTGGTGGACTCGTTCAAGATTAGTTTGGTTTGCAGCTACACTGTTCAACTGGATGAGGTAGCCAGTCTGACACCAACCATTCATAGATGTCTCTTATGACATACATAGTGGCACACGAAGTGTTTATATTTGCTTTCAAAGTAGGTCTAAGGAAACAAATTATGTAGATACAGCATCATAAATAACGAAGTTAACTGTATCGTCACTAAACATATTGGTGACGATGGATTTCAACAATTTAAAAGACAGACAATGCAATGGAAAGGGGATGCAAGAAGATCAGACAGTTTCTTTAAAGATATGTGGTTCTATATAGGGAAAGAAAAAGGCCAAGACAGACACCCTTTCCCTGCATGGTGATAACAACAAACATAGCCCAAAGACAGTACAAACATACAAACACACAAACATTACCTCGAGGTAAACCTATACTAAAATCTTTGATTTGAAAGCTCTGCTCTATACTCTCGATGCCGCAGTGTTGGTTGGCATAGTAATTGTTGATGACTCCATCCGATATAAAGGCCAGTTTTCCAGCTATGACCCTCTCCAAGATGTCCGTTCTGTTGGCCAGTATACATTCCTTCTCGTGGACTTTCATGATAGACCACATTCTCTGGAAAGGGTCTTCTTTCTGTCCCTGAAGGAACAAGATACAAGACAGCACTTTGTACTTAAAAGTTGCAGGTTCAAGGTCAAGGTCAAGTAACTCGGGTTTTTTCTCTCTTATGAATAAAGGGTTGTTCCCCATTCTGTTGATGATAGAACAACATGAACAACAAACAACACCAACAACAACAACAACAACAACAACAACAACAACAACAACAACAACAACAACTACTACTACTACTACTACTACAACTACTACTACTACTACTACTACTACTACTACTACTACTACTACTACTACTACTACTACTACTACTACTATTACTATTACTACTACTACTTCCTCTTCTTCCTCTACTGTTACTACTAATACAACGACTATTACTACCCATACTACGACAGTCACCACAGTACTACTACTACTAACACAACAACAGCACTAGCTACTACTACTACTACCACTACTACCACAACCACCCCAACTACCACTGCTGCATCTACACTTATTACTGCAATTTCTACTATTACTACCAGCAGTACGATGACGATAGCAACAGCAACTTTTCAACATACTGGCATCCCCCGGAAAAAAGATCCAGACAATGCCTTTCAGTCGTAAACCAGTCCAAGTTTAGGAACCAAACAGCTACCAATTGAGGAAACCCCGTTTAGTCATAAAGCACAGTTAGTCTTAGTACTAAAGTGAATCAGATCAGAACTATTTTTTGGCCAATACTATGCAATCAGTGCCAAACGTTGACATTTATATCCTCTAATATACGTAAAATTGTGACAGCAGAGATGAAATGCCTTAAAAGAGCTGCAGGAGTTTCAAGGAATAACATAATAAAGTCACGAAATCAGACGAATGCAAGGAATAAAGCCAGTCTTACAGGTCGTCAAAGAACAACAAATGAAGCGGTTTGGACACCGAACAAGAATGCCCCGGTACTATCTGCCACAGCGAGTCACAATGAAAGGTTACAACGGGTATAGAGCGAGCGGAAGACCTCGGAAAAAATGCAGTGATGGTATTAAGAACAGCCTTACAGAAATGAACATCAATCTAAATAGTGCTCTTGACAGAGCTTATCAACGAACATTACATCTCCTCCCTGACACTTCACTGAGGTACAAGGTGGAAGAGAAGAAGAAGAAGGAGAAGTCTTAGTGGAGGTTTTAGCTTCACTGCAATCGGGTTTCGCCATACTTGCTCCGTTCCTGTGCCAGTGAAAAACAAATTAAATGTCTCATTTTTGCGTTTGAAAAAGTGGTGAACAAACAATCAGCCCCGGAACAATCCAGAAATATGCGAAATAGCTCAGTTATACTGATTACCAAAGTAAACTATAGCCCAGTGTGATTGGGGTTTGACAATTATGACAATTACTACCTTGAAAAACGCCATGATTTCACTGCCCTTTTCAACCCCGTACTTGATCTTGGTCTGGCCCGCCAAGTCGTAGACGGATTTGACCCTCTCATCTATCTGTTGGAGGGTGAGGAATGCGGCGAGGTTGGCAGTGTAGGCTGCTTCGATGATGAGCACACAGAACCAGAAGAAGGCTATCACCGTCCTCATGGCCGTGGTTTGTGGAGAGTAGTCAGTCGAACCCTGGGGGACAAGAAAGATCGTGACTTAAGCAGGAAGTGACATAATGAAACAGAGAGGTATCTTAAGATCATGTGTGGAAACATCAAGCATACAGAGCCTACACACATAATGCATCAACGAATAGATTAATCAAGAACTGACGTCACTGCACTTGGGACATTCTCAAACGTCCCGTGTTCCGTCTCTTTCCTCAAAACTCAACGAAGAGTCGACATGCTGACAACAGCGTTGTTCCTTAAGTTCCCCCCTATGTGTTGACTATCTCCCAGAACCGCTGCTGATAGCCCGTAGAATTACTCTTTGAATACAGGGGTTCTCTGTTCTATTGCAATGTCTATTTGATCCCAGACAGTCTTCACCCCGTCCGCTTTATCACAAAGGTGAGATGGCGATAGCAGCAGCCATTCTATTTGTCTGATCATTGCCTCGTACACCTGAATATCCTAGAGAGAGAGAGAGAGAGAGAGAGAGAGAGAGAGAGAGAGAGAGAGAGAGAGAAAGAGAGAGAGAGAGAGAGAGAGAGAGAGAGAGAGAGAGAGAGAGAGAGAGAGAGAGAGAATCCACAATGAGCTCTTGATCTGAGTATTATAAAGCAATGCACACATACACAACGAAGTCCTTATTTGTTTCGTTCTTTTTACAATGAGTAATCCGAATTTTCCGGTATGGCCGTGACACCATTCTAGACTATATGCGCCTTTCAGTCTAACGATTAGAACGTTCATGCCAGAGACCCAGGATCCATTCTGAGTGAGGCGATGAAGGAGTTGTTTTTTTTCTTCTCCAGTGGGACTTCACTATCCAGGCAGCTTAAATCCCAACGATTCCCTCTGTCCTTCACCACCCTAAAAAGGTATACAAGGGCAGAAAGATCACACTTCTGTGTTTGCTTTTTTGATGAGACTATCTTGCTTAGTCCATGGTCGACTGAAATCTATCCCTTGAATTATGGAAGATGTGTGATTGGAGTTTCTTCTTCGAGATGAATTGCTGCCTCCGGCTGACGAGCTGCATCTGCACGAGAAAGACCTGTTTCATGACAGAAAAAGGTTTGCTACACCGGTGGAGAAATTGCCTCGCACTTCAAACGACATACTTGAGAAACAGGATGTCTCTGTCTGTTCTCTGCCCTTTGAACTGCTCGGCTCCGCGTGGGTGGACCTGCTGGTAGCTATGCTAGCGCCGACACAGCTCTCAGGGTCACTGAGACAATCGGGCCAATTTACTTCGGCAAAGTCATCACCATCGTCGTCATCAGCATCATCGTCATCATCATCATCATCATCATCAGCATCACCGTCATCATCATCATCATCATCATCGTTGTCATCACCATCATCGTCATCACCATCATCGTCGTCACCATCATCGTCGTCGTTTTCATCATCATAATCATCATAATCAACATCGTCATCATCATCATCGTAATCACCATCATCATCGTCGTCATTAGCATCATCGTCTTCACCTTCATCATCATCGTTATCATGATCATCATACTCTAGTACCTTGCAAGGCTCGAAGTCGATTCTTCTGTTCCGCTCTATCCTGTACAATCCTTTCTTGATCATAGCTGGAGCCCAGCCCAGCAGCTTTGGCGTCAGTCAGCAACGGTCATCTTATGGTTTCTCCTATACGTCCATGTTCCCTCAGTCAATATTCCATTTTAGTGCATGTTTAGTGATTCTCGGTCAACCTGTCCTCCTGATGTTCCTAACACATCGGCATCTTCTTGTTCTTATTCCTCATGATGTTCCTAACACATCGACATCTTCTTGTGCTTATTCCTCATGATGTTCCTAACACGGCATCTTCTTGTTCTTATTCCTCATGATGTTCCTAACACATCGACATCTTCTTGTGCTTATTCCTCATGATGTTCCTAACACATTGGCATCTTCTTGTTCTTATTCCTCATGATGTTCCTAACACATTGGCATCTTCTTGTTCTAATTCCTCATGATGTTCCTAACACATTGGCATCTTCGTGTTCTAATTCCTCATGATGTTCCTTACACGATATCTTCTTGTTCTTATTCCTCATGATGTTCCTAAAACATTGGCATCTTCGTGTTCTAATTAATCATGATGTTCCTAACACATCGACATCTTCTTTTTCTTATTCCTCATGATGTTCCTAACACATTGGCATCTTCTTGTTCTAATTCCTCATGATGTTCCTAACACATTGACATTTTCTTGTTCTTATTCCTCATGATGTTCCTAACACATTGTCATCTTCTTGTTCTAATTTATCATGATGTTCTTAACACATTGGCATCTTCTTGTTCTTATTCATCATGATGTTCCTAACACATCGGCATCTCCTTGTTCTAATTCCTCATGATGTTCCTAACACATTAGCATCTTCGTGTTCTAATTCCTCATGATGTTCCTAACACGACATCTTCTTGTTCTTATTCCTCATGATGTTCCTAAAACATTGGCATCTTCGTGTTCTAATTCCTCATGATGTTCCTAACACATCGACATCTTCTTTTTCTTATTCCTCATGATGTTCCTAACACATTGGCATCTTCTTGTTCTTATTCCTAATGATGTTCCTAACACATTGGCATCTTCTTGTTTTAATTCCTCATGATGTTCCTAACACATCTCTTCTTGTTCTAATTCCTCATGATGTTCCTGACACATTGGCATCTTCTTGTTCTTATTCATCATGATGTTCCTAACACATTGGCATCTTCTTGTTCTAATTCCTCATGATGTTCCTAACACATCGATATCTTCTTGTTCTAATTCCTCATGATGTTCCTAACACATTGGCGTCTTCTTGTTCTAATTCCTCATGATGTTTCTAACACATCGACATCTTCTTGTTCTAATTCCTCATGATGTTCCTAACACATTAGCATCTTCTTGTTCTTATTCCTCGTGATGTTCTTAACACATTGGCATCTTCTTGTTCTTATTCCTCATGATGTTCCTAACACATCGACATCTTGTTTTAATTCCTCAAGATGTTCCTAACACATTGGCATCTTTATTGTCTAATTCCTCATGATGTTCCTAACACATTGGCATCTTTTTTGGCTAATTCCTCATGATGTTCCTTACACATCGACATCTTGTTCTAATTCCTCAAGATGTTCCTAACACATCGACATCTTGTTCTAATTCCTCAAGATGTTCCTAACACATTGGCATCTTTTTTGTCTAATTCCTCATGATGTTCCTAACACATCGACATCTTGTTCTAATTCCTCAAGATGTTCCTAACACATTGGCATCTTTTTTGCTAATTCCTCATGATGTTCCTAACACATTGGCATCTTTTTTTTTCTAATTCTTCATGATGTTCCTTACACATCGACATCTTCTTATTTCTCATGATGTTCCTAACACATCGACATCTTCTTGTTCTTATTCCTCATGATGTTCCTAACACATCGACATCTTTTTGTTCTAAATCCTCATGATGTTCCTAACACATTGGCATCTTCTTGTTCTTATTCCTCATGATGTTCCTAACACATTGGCATCTTTTTGTTCTAATGCCCCATGATGTCCGTAACACATCAACATCTTCTTGTTCCTATTCCTCATGATGTTCCTAACACATCGACATCTTCTTGTTCTTATTCTTCATGATGTTCCTAACACATCGGCATCTTCTTGTATTATTCCTCATGATGTTCCTAACACATCGGCATCTTCTGGTGCTTATTCCTCATGATGTTCCTAACACATTGGCATCTTCTTGTTCTAATTCTTCATGATGTTCCTAACACATTGGCATCTTCTTGTTCTTATTCCTCATGATGTTCCTAACACATTGGCATCTTCTTGTTCTTTTAACTGTAGATTAAAAACGGTTGACAACACATTTCTCTTATGCATCCGCCTTCCTTGAATTAATCTCATTCCATATTATTTAATTTCCTTGATGCATTTGTCCTCCTTAAATGCTTTCAATTTTCTTTAGATGCATTTAAGTTTTCCTTAGATGCTTTTAAGTTTTTCTTAGATGCATTTAAGTTTTCCTTAGATGCTTTTAAGTCTTCATTAGATGCATTTAAGTTTTCCTCAGATGCTTTCAAGTTTTTCTTAGATGCATTTAAGTTTTCCTTAGAGGCAATTAAGTTTTATTTTGATGCTTTTAAGTTTTCATTAGATGCATTTAAGTTTTCATTAGATGCATTTAAGTTTTCCTTAGATGCTTTTCAGTTTTCATTAGATGTATTTAAGTTTTCATTAGATGCATTAAAGTTTTCCTTAGATGAATTTAAGTTTCATTAGATGCATTTAAGTTTTACTTAGATGCTTTTAAGTTTTTCTTAGATACATTTAAGTCTTCCTTAGATGCATTTAAGTTTTCCTCAGATGCTTTCAAGTTTTTTTTAGATGCATTTAAGTCTTACTTGGAGGCAATTAAGTTTTCCTTAGATGCTTTTAAGCTGTCCTTAGAGGCAAATAAGTTTTCCTTAGATGCTTTTAAGTTTTAATTAGATGCATTTAAGTTTTCATTAGATGCATTTAAGTTTTCCTTAGATACTTTTAAGTTTTCATTAGATGTATTTAAGTTTTCATTAGATGAATTTAAGTTTTCCTTAGTTGATTTAAGTTTTTATTAGATGCATTTAAGTTTTACTTAGATGCTTTTAAGTCTTCATTAGATGCATTTAAGTTTTCCTCAGATGCTTTCAAGTTTTTTTAAAATGCATTTAAGTCTTACTTAGAGGCAATTAAGTTTTCCTTAGATGCTTCTAAGTCTTCCTTAGATACATTTAAGTCTTCCTTAGATGCATTTAAGTTTTCCTTAGATGCTTTTAAGTTTTACTTAGATGCATTGAAGTCGTGGACTATCTCCCAGTCCTTAAGAAGGAGAATAGGGGCTTTTGAGCTGAAATGCTATAGAAAGATTCGCAGAATATCTTGGACAAAGAAGAGGAGAAATATTGACATCTTGAAAGATCTGAACATCAAGGAAGATTAGCAAATAAACA